GGACAAAGGAAAACCAGAGGGAGTTTCTATTGACAGAAAACTCTTCTCTGAAGCCTCATTAACTAGAAGCTGAAGTGCGCCCTGCAGGTTCTTTGTCTTCCCAGTTCTGTCTGGTGGCTTCCTTCCTCTTATGTTATTGGGAACACACAGTTTAATAGGGTAGACATCTAATAGAAACAAAGATGGTTTATCTGTTGTTTCAGTTGGAATATTAAGAAGGCAGGATAATATTCACATGCTCAGATTGTTTAGTTGCATTCACTTTGTGGTAGACAGGTCTGAAAAGATATATATAAAATGACCTAGTGCCTGATTTAAACAGCATGACTACAAATGTGAGCAAAGTATCAGTCACTAAACTGCTTGAAACATTGCCCTTAAATTCCTTTCTAGTTCTTGTTTATTTATTTAACCTTCATTCATTCATAGGAGCAGAAAACATTGTTGTGCATTGCCTATTTAAATTACATCATGTTTAAGTGGCTAGCAATAAGAAGAGAAGCTGAATGGTATTAAAAATAGTGGGCTCTTGGGACCAGCAGTTAGCATAAGGGCTATGTCACTGGACTCCCACGTAGTTGACCGTGGTTCGCGTCCCGGACCCGGTGGCTTAAACTCACGCTGGGCGCGTATGCGTGTGTGCCCAAGATCCCGAGAGGACAATGGAGGAGAAGGGATTGTGGCGTGGCCATCCCCCCTGGGGGGTGATTTCTTGCTTTCTATCTATCTGTCTCTCTCTGTCTGGCGAGCACACGCACCCTATAGCAAAAACCTCTCAAAAAAAAAAAAATAGTGGGCTCTTGTGAATCCAAAGGGGGGAAGAAAACTAGTATATAGCTTTAATAATTGAAAAGGAAAAAAAATAGGATGATAGCTTTAGAAATAACTATAAATTCATATACTACTTACAGTATGGAGTTAAAATAATTAACATTTCTTTTTTCATCTCATCTACAGAATGGTAGTGAGAAATGCAATGAAATAGACAATCACTTATACCAATTTATGTAAAAATGAAGAATGAATTAGAAATACCAGGTTTTAAAACATTTAGATATCAATTAAAATAATGGGAAGCCCCCTCACATGGAGTTTTCTGATGGGGCTTATTAAATCGGACTCTGATCATTTAATATTTTTTAAATTTCTGGAGCAATTCACAATCTATTAAACTATTTTATTCATCAAGTGACAACATTCAGATGACTCTTTTCCAACCTCCTATATAAAACCAAACTAGTAGCTAGGGTAGAAGCTTTATCTCATCTCTTGAGACCCTAGGTATATGTTGAGGAGATTCTGGACAGTAACTCATGCCATAAAATAGTAAGTCTATCGGTAGATTTTCTATCACTGTGTTTGATGAACATACTGAGGTATAAAGACAGTAGCTGTATATATGTTTAGAAGGCAGGAAAGAGGCCTGAAGTATAGATATGATTCATCAAAAGATGGTTTCTGGCCCAGCCACTGTGATACAGCAATAACACAAGTATGCTTCAAGGCTGGAAGCCATATGGCCACCACAGGTTTGACCTTAGAGTCAGCCTGATAACACATAAGATGAGTGCAGGGCAGCCAGGATTCCTAGGATCTGGAAAGCTGAGAAAAGGGGATCACTATATAATGAGACCCTGTCAAGGATGCTTTCTCCCTCTCTCTTTTTCACATGCATGTGCTCACAGGAGCATGTACTCTTTGTCAATATAAAAAAAGAGCAAGATGGTTTCTGAAGCATGTGGTTATATAACAACTAGAAAAGGTATAGATAGAAAAAGGCCAACTAGCTATAGCTTAGACTCAGAGATCCTCAAAAGAAGAGGAGCTAGCAAAGAGGACTAAGGAGGAGCCACCGTAGGTAGCAGGAAAATGAGATGAGAATGAGCATCATGGAAGAGAAAGTACTATAAAAAGGATCTGCCTGTGTTGTAAGTATTGCTGAGTACGTGAGGGAGACAAGGACATGTCTCTGTAAGAAGCTGGTCATGGGTCATGGAGGTGATAGAAATGAAATGAAGTAGGTTGTGAGGAAAATGGGAAAAGGAAATGGAGATAGGCATTTTCTCAAGAAGTTCTGCTATAAATAGGTGAAAACAATGGGGTGACAGCTGAAGATCAAGGGAAAATATTTTTGTGCTAGTGAGAAAGATTCCGCATGGAGCACGGTAACAGCATATTGTTGACCTGAATACGGGAACGAGGGCACAGAGGAAAGGGTGAGATGTGTGAGGAAAGGTGAAGTAGACAGGCTCAAATACTGGAGAGAAATGAGAGAATTGTCTCTCTGGTCACATCTTTATTTTTCTCTTAGATATGTAGCAAGGTCACTGGCTGCAAGTACAAGGGGCAGGATTATTTGGGTGAATTAGAAGAAACAAGAACATGAGAAACAGTTACATTAGGGATTAAAATAGAGTTTATTAGGAAAATGTATTAAAAGGCTTATTGAACAGTTTTGAGTGCCAATATTTGAAATATGTGATCATAATTACAAAGTAGCTTAAGATAGCAGTTACGTTTTCAACCAAATATTATCCTTACTAGTTGAAACCTAAGGAAACTAGGCACCCGGATGTAAGGAAGTGGGAGGCAAAAGAAATGCCACACTGCCATTTTTATAACTTCATAGTTCTGTCAACCTTTAACTCTCTTTCCTTCTCTAAACTAAGCCTGATCAGTAAATGAAGTATTCTTTCCAAGTCTAAGGATTTTTTTTTCTGAGTAGCTTTCCACTGAAAAAATCAAACAAAAAATCTGTTAACTTAATTTTAAACTCATACTAAATTCAGTTAACACTCAATAACATGTTGAGATTTACTTCAGAAGTCACAAGGAACTTCAGTGTTAACATCACATAAATGTGAAGTTCGAGGGCATAGCTATTGGGTCTTCAGGAGAGTCATGGCACGTTTTTGTATAGAAAAACGAAAAAATATGTCATGACTTTCCCAGAAACCTAATATATCTATTTCCCCTTCTATTTTCAATATATGCCAAGGTAAAAATAAAAAGGTTACTGTATAACTTAATAACTGCATGGGTGACAGGAATATGATGAGAATTAATAACTAGGCAAATGCCCATGAATACTCGGAAAAGGCCACCTGTGCTATTTGTCAGGGAAGTGAAAACTCACATATTCACTTTGATATTTAAACAAAAGAACATGACTTTTTAAAATGAGATCAAATGCAAATGTTGATACTTTTCATAGACTGTATTAAAACATAATAGGTCCTTGCAAAGATTGAGTTATGCCATGAGATGAAAGACACAATGTCAAACCAGAGGTTATAAAGCCCAGGACACTCATGTGAAAATTTAGAGATGTACAAATACCTTAAAGAAACTCTCATAGATGTCTGACATTAGTAGAGAAATAAACCAAACGAAGATTTTGTCATCAGTGTGTAAATGCTATTACACAAACCAAGAAAATGAATATAGCAAAGACAAAGTAGCTGTACTTACACTAACTGAAGAGATGTGTTTAGACAAAGAAATAGGTAACATGCATGAGAATCTTAATGTAAAGTCAAAGTTGTACGAAGCTGAAAAAGTAATTAAATAAATGAAAGCAAAAGAAATATTTACTGTTTTGCTACTTCCCAATAGAAATTTTATTAAAAATAGCTAGAGTATGCTTGTGTTCACTGAAGAGAGACTGAGAGCGAGGCTGGGAGAGGGAAAAATGAAAAAGTACATCCTCCATGGAGAATGGACATGCCACAATCCCTTCTCCTCCACTGGGGATTCTGCGCACCCAGGTGGACACATGCATCTGGCATGTTTTTTGAGCCTCTGGGTCTGAGATTCAAACCATGCTGTGGGATCCAGTGCTTTAACCATCATGCCACTGACTGGCGAAGAAATGATCTTATGTAGGTTTATGAGACCCAAATTCAAAAGCCTAATAGAATAGAAACAAGCAAAAGACTAGAAATTCTAAAAACATCTGGTCAATCTAAAAAAAAATTTTTTTTTAAAGAACAGAAACAAACTCTACTACTAATCAGTTTAGGGTTAAATTATATTTCAATGAATTATTAAAATGTTTAAATAAAATATTAAGATACATGGACAAGAAGAGGACATTAAAAGGATTTTTCTTTACAGAGATATTTTTTAATAATTACTTTTTTCCTGACAGGAGTTATATAAATTTTATAACTGAGTGAACATGTCCAGTGTGAGAACATGTGACCTGTGTCAGAGAATGGAGAGATAACTTATGAATAAAGTATAACAAGTGCTTTATAGTCATTCTTGGGTTTCTACATCCTTTACAAATCAATAATGGATGAATTATTCTAAATCTAGTACTACAAAAAGACTAAGTCAGTGATGAAGCTACCTAGCCCTATATAGTCAGACTGAATATTATGCATTTGATTTTTTAAATTAAAATGGGAACATTTTCCTTCCTTCCTTTTATCTCTTACTGCCATGGAATTTGTGTACTTAAGACAATATTTGCATAGGAGCATTACTGAAGGCTCTGTATTCTGGGGTATCAAGAAAAAGAAACAACAAAAACAAGAAGGATAATAATCCTTGTGCAAGAATGTTCACTTGTAGCACTGACTCTTCAGAGTAACTATCTATGTAGACTAAAGAAGAGATGTGAATTTAATGAGATATACCTGTAATGTTTTGTATTTTTTTCTTTTTTATTGCCAGAGGGTGCATGTACTCACCATAAAGACCAAAAGAAAGCACCCACTAATGGATATGGTCATACCACAACATTTTTCTTTTCCTTCTATGAGGACTTTGGGCACACATGCACCAAACTGGCATGCTTCTCAAGTCACCAAGTTCAGGACTCAAACTATAATTAGCCATGTGGGATCCAGCTCCTTTACCCACTAATCTATGGGACTAGCCTAGTTTTATTTCTTAAACAGGATATTGAGTATACTGCTAGTTTTTATGTTATTATTGATACTTTTTGCTTTTTCTGATTTTTTTTTTTCCTAAAGAAAACAATAATGACTTACCAAACTATCCACATCTATGCTGGAGTTTACAGCCCACTGCAATGTACTCATGATATTCATAGCTAAAGTTAGAATAATACCAACTGTTCCTTCTCCTTCACCTATAGGCAGAAAAAAGATATAAACAAACTTTGTGTTATTTTTATCATCTGTGAACTTCTTTATTTATATCTCTCCTAATGCCTGTATCACATTTAGGATCACTTTCCAATGCTATGCTTATTTTAACATATTTCATTCATCTCAGTTAATCACAAAATCTACCAATAGCAATAATGTCCTGCATATCATAAATGTTTAACCAATTTAAAAAATATTATTATTATTAGTTTTTGCTGTAGAGCCTATATGCTTGCTCAGGAGAGAGAGAAAGAGAGAGCATGCAGGAAAGTGAGAAATCAACCCCAGAGGGGATGGACACACTACAATTCCTTCTCCTCCATTCTCTCAGAATTTTTTTAAGCATGCATACATATGGGCCCAGCATAATTTCCAAGTCACTGAGTCCAGGATTCAAAATGCTCAGTCAGCCATGTGGGAGTCAGACACCTGAACCTCCAAGCTATCTGCTGCCCCCCAACCAATGCTTTAAATCAAAGAGTAAATGAGTATTAGGAAAGAATTGCCCTTTAAAAAATGTTTTATGTATTAAATGGGTTGTTGGCATTGGGCAGGTATCATGTTTGTCCCTTCTACAACTATTACAGTCAAATACCAGAATGATCAATTGGGAGAAAAAAAAAATAGGCCTGTTCCAGATGAGTTCTCCTACAAAGAAGTTAAAAGCAGGGGAAGGAGGTTACGTTTCAGTAGTATCTGCAGCTTCAGGCTGCTGACAGAGAACTTTGTTTACTAATCAGATGTTGTTGACTTAGAACTTCATGGAGCAGTCAGAAAACTAATTATTCACAATTGCTAAGAAATGGAACCAATCTCAATGTCCACAAACAGAGGAATGGATTGAAAAAGTGTGGCACATATACTCTATGGAATATTACTCAGCCATAGAAACAAGACCTTGGCGTTTGATAGAAAGTGGATAAATATGGAAGATTTACTGCTGAGTGAAGCAAGCCAGACTATGAAGGAAAGACATTGTATGTCTCCACTTAATATATACCAACTGTCTCCACTCTGGCTGAAACTGAAGGACTAGAGGATACAGAAACATAGACAATGGTTATAGATACCAGATACAGTGTGGGAAGAGGATGGGAGGAGGAGAGTCTGAGGAAAAATATTAAGGAGAAAAATAGAGAGGCAAGGCATTTATGGGATAAAGAAATGGGTTATTATCTGTTGAAGACAATGAGTATAGTATTCGTAACTAGACTGGTGAGAAATGTATTCATGCTGAATTATTCACTTTACAATCTAAGTGACATATGTGATTGAATGTATAAAAGAAATTGAAATTTAAAAAATATTTTAAAAAAGAAAACTAATGTGTCTGCCATTTGGGAAGAGAGAAGATTGTCCATTATAAAAAGCAAACAAAAAAAAGATTGATTTACATGGGAAGAACATAGTCAAGTATAATTAAAGTAAATTATTTTTTAGGGCTAGGAGAAACCATAAATTAAAATTCACAAATATTCAGTACTATAGCTATAAAATTTTTCTAAGATTAATATAGACTTACTATAAATTTAGGTTATATATCACAAATAGAGAGTTCTTACATCTATAATGCATGATAAAATTGTCATAAAGTTCTAAAATTGGGAGAAATAATTCATCCTTTTGTTAAGTGAAATTTCTGTTTCCAAAATTCCTCTTATCGAAGGTACACCATAAACAACATATATCTACTTTTAGAAGTAAATCACTTACTTTAAATTGGGTCCTAATATATTACTTGTTCAAACATTGAGATGAGAATAAGATAAAATTTTAATAATAACAATCATAAGTATTATAAAATTGTTTGAATATCTACTATGAACCAGGCAATACACTAAGTATTTTGCACAAACCATCACATATAACACTTGCTACAGACCTATGGGGTAGGTCTTATCATTATATTTATTTAAATATCAGGGCAGTGAGGGATTTAAAGCTAGCTAATGTGCACCATTTGATATAGCTGAAGAACAGTATATTCAGGGTTAATATTAGCTGGATGACCAACAACCACTTCAGTGGGGTATCTGATTTGATTGATGTACTGAAGTGACTGCTAAGTGTTTTGACTATTGCCTCTGGTAAATCAGGACTCAACCATGCTCTTAACTATCGTATGATCACATGTAATATATTGGCTTGGATTAAAAGTTAACAAATGTTTGTTCACATAATTTATCCCTCTTTGGTCCTATTTAAAATAGCTTATAAAAAAATGAGAAGATTCTGGACCAGCAATTGGCATAATGGCTATGTCACTGGACTCCCATGTAGTTGACCATATTTCGAGTCCCAGACCCAATGGTTTAAACTCATACTGGGCTTGTGTGCATGCATGCCCAAGATCCCAAGAGGCGAATGGAGGAGAAGAGATTGTGGTGTGGCCATCACCCCTGGGGGGTGATTTCTCACTTTCTGTCTCTCTGTCTCTCTCTGTCTCTCTCTCTCTCTGTCTTTCTGGTGAATGCATGCACCCTATAGTAGAAACACTCTCAAAAAAAACAGAAAAAATATTTGAAGATTCTGAACCTAAAAATAAATTGTCTGATGATGACAATATATGATATGGTAATATCTTTGACTAGACTAATATACAATATATTCATGCTGGGAAAATCCATTTTGTATGCTGTAAAGATGTACAGTGACTAAATGTAAAAGAAATAAGAAAATACAATTTAAAAGGATAAAAGTTACCTAAAATTACTGTACCGCTGGGAATTCCTTTAATTGCCTGCCTACGTATATTCCTTTCATAGAATCATCTCCCACTGCCCCAGCTGAGAGAACAAACATGACGAACTTGTATCATCACAGCACCTCAGTGGACTGCAGGTAGACCTCTGAGCCAAAGGAGCCTGTCTTCTGTTTTCTAGGACTTTGTAACAAGACAGAGGAACTCTGTTGTTACTTCAGGGACCACGATAGTAAGACCACATTCAGTCCACTTGGTACAGTCCTGGTATACCAGGAAAAACAGTATTCAGAGAGAGCAATGAATGAAGCAGTCACAGAAAGGAATGGACGCAGGCCACTTCTGAACTCAAGGGATGGGAAGAAGAGTTCATTATCTCTCTGGTACCTGTTCCATTTCCTCTAGGGGCCCAATGGCACCCTTGCCCTGAACCTCCACAAAGCCCTCCTGGAACTCACCAACAAATGCCTCAAATAGTCCCATAGACTTGGGATTGATTGGGCATTTGCTCTGAATCTTTGTCCATTGTCTCTCACACACAAACACATCTGTACAACACATTTCAACACTCATTATAGCCCAGAAATTTAACTTTTTCAATTAAAGAAACTTGCTTATCTATATAATTATTATTTTATTTTACTTATTTCATGTTTACCCAAAGATCTTAAAATTCAAAACATTTTAATTTTTAAAATACAGTATTTTTATCTAAGTAATTTCCCTCCTTTGGTAGTTTTTCTTCATGCAAAATTTACACCAACCAGTGGTTAAAAGAACAAAATTTACCAGGAAGAGGCATCATTTCTCTTTAAGTGTAGATGCTGAGTTTCCCCTATTCATAGGTCTGTAGCAAGAGATCTACTGGGGCCAGCAGGTGGCATAGTGGTTAAGGCACTGGTCTTCCATGTGTCTGACTGTAGTTCAAGTCCCAGACCTGGAGGCTTGAAACTCATGCCAGGTGCATGTGTGTGTATGTCCAAAATCTCAGGAGGAGAATGGAGGAGGAAGGATTGTGGTGTGATCAGCTCCCAGGGGGATGATCTCTCACTTTCTGTCTCTCTGTCTCTCTGACAAGTTCATGTGTCCTATAGCAAAAATCTCTCTCTCTAAAAAAAATAAAAAGAGAGAGAGAGAGATCTATTAATTTTTTTTTCTTTTTTTGGAGAGGTTTTTGCTATAGGGCGCGTGTGCTCGCCAGACAGACAGAGAGAGACGGAGATACAGAAAGCGAGAAATCACCCCCCCAGGGGGGATGGCCACGCCGCAATCCCTTCTCCTCCATTCTCCTCTTGGGATCTTGGGCACGCACGCACACGTGCCCGGCATGACTTTAAGCCACCGGGTCCGGGACGTGAACCATGGTCGACCATGTGGGAGTCCAGTGATATAGCCATTACGCTAACTGCTGGTCCCTAGATCTATTAATTTTGAAGCCAGAATCCTTCATCAGCATGAGCATGAAGAGATTATTTTTTCCTTCAGTCACAGATTTTTCTACTTAAGATTCTCTCCAATTTTTTAAACTGTGAAAGCACAAATAAGAATATATATTATATGTATATGTTTCAAAGAAATTATTTATTCAACACTAAAACAATAGAAGTTCCCAGAAATCAATTGCCCAACAGTTAATCAAGAAAATCTGTTCAAAGATATCTAAAATGTTTAACCTGTAAGCATGTAGCATTTTGTTCAGTAACAAAGTTTTGAGTTAAATGCTTAGCTAAATAGTTAATGAGTGTATAATACCTGTTGTTAAAATGGAAATGAAGGTAATGGCAATGAAAAAGATGACAAAAATCATTTCTATTCTCATTTGAAACCAGCGTAGTGTTGAGAGATATAAGAACCAGTTGGCAGTATGTAAATTCAGAGCTTTGTGGAACAGAGTTTCAAAGTAAGGCTGTCGTCCAAAAGCACGAAGTGTCCATAGTCCTTTTAAGCTTGTCACGAGATGAGTGAAAATTGGACTCCTGCCTGTGAAATAGTCCCATAGAAAATAATGTAAATCATGTAAACACAGAATGCAATTCCTTACTACCATGTACCTAACAAACAGTATCATTGTTCAGAGAGGATTTCACTCTGATGCCATACTTTGAAGAGATGAAATAGGTTATTTTTAACAAATGAGTTAAACTCCTTTTTTCTTGCCTACCATGGATGGGAACTTAACTATAAAATCATTATCATTATTTATGTGTAAGCCTTAGCTACCAATGGGCACTGTTTCTCTGGCTAATCCTAAATTAGTCACTGCCACAAAGACTTTTTCTTGTAAGACAGCTTTTTCAAGTTTTTCAAGTAAGCAAGTTTGACTTGATTTTGCTAATAACCTTCAAAGCAAAAGCATTGGAAATTCATCCCCTGAAAATGTACCCATACTAACGACTGTTACTGAAAATGTGCTTTCCAAACCGCTTAAGCAGTGTTTAGGGGTACACAAAAAGGGAGCCCTACAACACAAAAGAAAGGTGTCTGAGGACAAAAAGCCAAAAGAGAAGAATTTTATCTAATATCATATAGACTCCAGAAAAACCTTTACTAATAGCATTATCATTGTATAATTCGATTGGTATAAGCAAATTATGAATTACTATCATATACATGAGTAGTGGTAAGACTACACACTTTAAAACCCAAATGAAGTCAAATGGTTATTAATTAACAAAAAACAACCTATGTTTACTTTTAATGTGGTCTCCTTTTATATACATACACATTTTTTGCTGGACTCCCACGTGGTCAACCGTGGTTTGAGGTGGCTTAGACCTCACACCGGGCATGTGTGTGTGCATGCCCAAAGTTCCAAGAGGAAAATGGAGAAGGGATTGCAGTGTAGCCAAATCCCGGGGGTAATTTCTTGCTTTCTGTCTCTTTGTCTCTCTATGTCTTTCCACCAAGCACATATGCCCGATAGCAAAAATCTCTTTTTTAAAAAAATCATTGTTATAAATGTTTAAAAGCAGGAAAATAATTTTTGGGAAAAGCAGATTGACTACAGAGAATCCCAAATAGGACTTGTGGCTTTTTTTCCACAGTGAAGGTGAACATGGCACATTCAATGTCATACCTTCAGACTCCAGTTGTTTGAGCTGCTGTGAGGTGTGAAGGAAGTATGCTCTTAGCGCAACAAAAGCCACTATCACTGGCACCGTGGCTAGGAAGATGTAGGGTTTTAGGACTGAGACTACGGTTATAGTTCCAATCACAATTAATAACAACTGTAGGATCAAAGAAAACATATTGGTGAGTAAACGTTTTCATGTGGCAGTGGCACTGATTTCTTTCTAAATAAACTCTTTCCCTTTCTAAATAACCTCTTTCCCCAAAAAACAACCAAGAGAATGGCCAGCCTAATGAAAGGGACAAGTCCGGAGTTGAATGTTAACTTCCGACTTTAAATGGAAAGATCAGGCCACAGTAACACTGCAAATTCAATAGAAGAGAGATTAGTTACCTGAGACTGAACTCGTGAAACAGAATTTTTTCACTTTAGACTAAAACTTCACTGATTTTTTTCAATGCTTTGATTTCCATATTTAAGGATTTTTGTCTTCACTTGGACCCTTGATAGGTTCATCTATACCCTACTATTTTAACTGAATCCTAACCTTTTCCCTGGCTTTAAGTTTCATGCAAATTTCTCTTAACATTTTTTTATTTTGATCTATGAAAACTAAAACTGTTTTACTTGAAATTTAAAAATGCATTAAAAAATAAAATTAAATAAACAAATAAATATATAAATAAACAAACTCTTCCCACACTGTTCTATTCTCCACAAGGAACATGTGTACTTCCTACTGAGAAGGCAGCCAGCTCAAGCATATTTTTCAAAAGTTCTCTGAAAATTCAAAAAATTGTTTGGGTCATTGGCAATACATTCTTTTTCTTTTTTTTTTTCTAGAGGTTTTCGCTATAGGGCGCATGCGCTCGCCAGACAGACAGAGAGAGACAGAGAGACAGAAAGCGAAAAATCACCCCCTGGGGGGATGGTCACGCCGCAATCCCTTCTCCTCCATTCTCCTCTCGGGATCTTGGGCACGCACGCACACGCGCCCAGCGTGAGTTTAAGCCACTGGGTCCGGGACACGAACCGCGGTCGACTACATGGGAGTCCAGCGACATAGCCATTACGCTAACTGCTGGTTCCCAATACATTCTTGAAGTTTCAAAACCAGGGTGTCCTTTGATCTTTGGATAGTCTCATTTCCCAGACACTTTAAAGTGTATGATGCATCATACGTTTTAAATAGATACAAATTTCTTTAGCCTAGCCTTTTAAAAAAATAAACTGTTTTGAAGTAATTTGAGTATTAAAGTAAACTATAGGGTTTGTTTTCTTTAAACAATTTTTTTTTTAAATAGAGTATTAGTCTGGGAACCTTTTGAGTCAAAAAAACTTGACTTAGGGGGCCAGCAGGTGATGTAGAGGTTAAGATGCTGGACTCCCACGTGGTTAACCATGGTTTGAGTCCCAGACCACTGGCTTGAAAATCACGCCAGGCATGTGAGCATGTGTGCCCAAAATCCCAAGAGGAGAGTGGAGGAGAAGAAATTGAAGTGTGGCCAACTCCTCTGGGTGTGAGTGGGAGATTTGGGGTGGGGGTTCTCACTTTCTGTCTCTGTCCTCTGGCAAGCCCATGCACCCTGTATCAAAAATTTCTCAAAAAACAAACAAAAAAAAGATTTGATTAAACATGGGCTTGGTCATTTAGACAAGCTATCTGATTTCTCTAAGCCCAGTTTTCTCATGCTTAAGACTAAAAGAAATTACTCTTAGTAAATGTATTTCCCTTCCCAAATCTCCTGTTTCTGTTCATTGAAATAATTGAAGATAACCCTAAGAAGCAAAAAATAAAAATTTTAAAATGGCTGATTTAATTTAAAATTAGATAATTTTTTTATCTCCTATCTTATTAAAATAAAGTCTGAATTTTAGTCAAGGCCATCCACTATAGATATCTCTTCACATTATCTACCACAAAACCCAGATTCTGTGGGTTATCTCAGAAAGGGCTAACAGGATTTGTTTTCTTCAGAATCAAGTTTAAGTCTTAAATTCTGTATTTCTACATGACACCAAAAACATACATTTTGAACAGATTAAAAAGTCTGCTAACATTTATTTCATAAATTTAAATAAATTATAAGTAATTATTAGCAATAAGGGTTAAAAAATACACCTATTTAACACCCATATGCTAAACAACAAGTTGGTTCTTTTCTGGTTTCTGTAGGTGACACAGGTATTTTCCAAGTGATTCAGTGAGACACGTAACATTATAGTATTAATAAATAGGGACAAGAATGGGGGTTAGCTCAGATCTGCATAAGTCTTTGAACAGGTTGCTATTTCCATTTAAAAACTATAGATGACTATATCTTAGGGACATTTTTCTATGTCTCCAATCGTCAAATTTTAAAATGTGAGCCCCTCCCTCATTTAGCAAATACTTGAATGAATGTTCAGTGTGTCAAGTATTAGACTAGGCAATGTTTCTCTTTTCTTCCCTCCTCCCCTCTTTC